CATACTATCGTAAGAGATAAAAGATCACTTCCATTTTAATTTCATGCTAATAGCATTCGTTGATAAGAGGGGAATAAAACTGTTAATTTTTGCCATTTTATGGGGATTTCATATTAAAATTCTACAAACCCATTTCAAAGTCTTCATACTATTTTTGGTCATATTTAGAGGCATGAAATGACAACTATGGCTCGAAATAAAATCGATTCCAAGGCTAATGCAAGTTAAACTGGGCCATTAGAGGGCTAGATTTTAATTATATTCGATCAGATGAATTAGATATTTGTTCGTATAAATTAGACAATTCTTCGAACAAATTTGTTCTTCGTTAGGACAAATTAGATATTCGAACAAATTAATTTTCCATAAGGAAAACTTAAGATGTTCCCACTGGTGATTCCAGGAATCCGTGTGTTTGCCCTATTCACGATTTGTTTTGTTTACTGGATTTATGACATTGATCACTGTTGATCACTGTTTGTTATTTTTCAACTTTTACGAATTAGATATTCGTTAAAACAAATTAGATAATTGTACGATTTTTTTTTTCACGGACGAATTTGATATTTGTTTGAACGAAAGAGGGTGTTGCAGAAACTCGTGATTATTCCCTATATCGAGAAGGACATTTAAATACCCACGATGCATGAAGAGTTATCCCTAAATATAGATAATGCTACGTAGATGACTTTATTTATACGACGGGTATGTCCAGCTTCTTATAACAAAACATTTCACATTTTACGTTTATTTCATGCATAGTTTTTTCCTAACATAGACTGGCGACCTGTAAGTGAACTTTTTTTCACATCTATGGTCATTGTCGCCATATTGCACGAGAAAAGGTAGAACGATAAAAAGCACAATTAATTGCAAGTGCACCTCGCACATCATTTTGAAAGATGTACTGTAGACAGCGTGCGTTAATATTTTTCAGTATATATAAAAATGTGTCCAATAATCACGCTGTTGATGCAATATCCAAGAAATTCCATTGAGTCATTTCAATTTTAGTCTGAGCTACTAATTAACGGAACAGTAATGAAACGAAATGCGTATGAAGTTAAATTATTTAAAATGATAGTACTTTATTTTTTCAGACATCGCTACTAAATAATAACATTAAATACATGTTTTATTAGTTTTAGATCACAATATCAAGGAAAACAATTTAATTCTTCATGCATTTAAAATATTACCCATTTTTTGACATTCTCTCCCTCTCTCAAGAGAGATGTTACATGTACATTGTACTTCCATTATATAAGAAAAAAATATGTATATAATTATATACTAGCCATTCCAGGATTCGAACTCATTCTCAAGTAAAAGAATCATTGCGTAGAATCCACCCGCTTTACCACTAGACCAGCTCCGACAGTAAAATATCATGTGCTATTTTATGTGCACATTTTACATTTTGGATAGATAATAATTTTTATTCGATTTTTGTGATTTTCAAATATATGCCTCTTTGAAACAAAAATCGGAAATGGCAGTTTTGAAGAAAAATCCTGTCTCTTTAAGCGTATATCAAATTCATTCTGTTTCAAGGAGGCAATTTTTCTTAACAATGGGGATTTTCTATTTGAAAAACAGAAAACTTGACTTATTTTGCTATGTGACTAATTTAAACTTCATTTAATGGCAAATTGGAAGTCGATATGCAGTTTCTAAATATTGTTCTACATTGTGCTGTATATACCGTTGTATCTGAAAAAATTGAAGACCGTTTTCTGTTATTTAAAATTTTTCTTTTAAACTGCTACAACTTTAGGGAAAATAACAAAAGAACTGCAACACCCTCTTTGATATATGTTCGTTCGGACGAATAAGATATTTGGTTGGAGGAATAAGATATTCGTTCGGACCAGTTAGTTATAAGTTTGGACATATTAGGCATTCTTTGAACGAATTGGTAATTTGTTCTGGCATGTTAGATTCTGGTTTGGAAGGATTAGATACCCGTTTTCTTGAATGATATATTTATTTTGATATAAAAGTTCTTTGTTCGGACCAATTAGAAAGTTATTATTATATTGTTATAAGAATTAAATATTTATTTGGTTTGATTACTTAAGGAATCAGTGTCTATTTAGTAGAGTATACCAGGGCATCAACGATAGTTGGAAACGTGGGATAATTTGCATAACGGGCGAAGCCTGTTATGCATAAATTATCCCACGTTTCCAACCATCGTTGATGTCCCTGGCATACTCTACTAACTAGACAGTGATTCCATATTTTTCCATTTCATTGTGAAATAAAATTGTAAATTTAGATTTTAAAAATGTAGACTAATAGATTTAAATTATACGAGGCCTCACATGTCAATTTCAATAGTCTCCGCCCACTGACGTCAAACACAAAGACAGCCGCACGAGAATTACATGCATATTAGGCCTCCTTAGAGTCAGTCACAAAACAGCCGCACAAGAATTACATGCATATTAGCCTTCTTAGCTCCTGACTTTTCGCTTGGCGAAATTTGCATTCCGGTGGAATGATCAAGAAATCAACTCTCCTAACTTTCAAAGAGTTATCACAGAGAAAAAAATAGAAATGGAAATATATGTAGATGTTTGTTCGGACTTGCATGTTTTCGGACATTGGGTATTCACTTGTATGAATCAGATATTTGTTTGGATGAATAAGTTATTTTTGTGAACGAATTTGATAGTTGTTTGAAGGAATGAGATATATTTGCTCAGGCGAACGATTTTATTGTTCGGACAAATTAGATATTAGTTCAGACGGATTACAATGTAGATAGTCCATGGACGAATTAGAAATGAGTTTGGAGAAGTTAGGTATTCATTAGGACATATTATCTATTAGTTCAGACGAATTCCATATTTGTTCACGAGTTCGGGCAAACTGAATTTTGCCTTGGACAGATTGATTGTGTCGTTTTACGTCCCATTCGAGAATTTTTAGCTCACTTCAACGAAGTTGGGGGAGCTTATGGAATACCGTCGGCGTCTCAGGTTAAAGTTTTTGGAGCAGTTTCTTTTTAAGTACTTCTATGCCCAATATTAATTGGGGATGCATGGAAGATGCTTCTAGTATGTTTCATTGTACCAGTCAAGGTTCCAGATGCTGCAATTTCAGCTAAACCTATACTGACCAAACTTGCACGGATGATACATCGAAGGATGCACTCTACTGGAATTGTTTCGGATGCTGAATCTTGTCTAAATTTTCCGAATGAGTGACCAGGTTTAAGTTTTTGGACCAGATCTCATTTCCAAGTAACTTTAAGTCCTATTTTGACCAAACTTGCATGAATGATACATCTACGGATGCACACAAAAGAACTTGCTTCAGATGCTGGATCTGATCTATTTTTTCCGGATGAGTGACCAGGTTAAAGTTTTGGAGCAGATCTCATTTCCAAGTAACTATAAGCCCTAAATTGACCATTGGACTTGCATGGATGATACATCTAAGGATGAAATCTACTTGAATTACTTTGGATGCTGGATCTTACCTACATTTTCCGGATCAGTGACCAGGTTAAAGGTTTTGGAGCAGATCTCATTTCCAAGTAACTATATGGCCTATCTGAACCAAACTTGCATGGATGATGCATCAAGGGACGAACATTCTCAACATTGCTTCAGATGCTGGATTTGACTTACATTTTCTTGATGACTGACTAGTTTTAAGTTTTTAGATAAGTCAATTCCCAAGTAACTGCAAGCCCTATCAGACCAAAATTGCATAAATGTTGCATCTAATGATGCACATTACTAGATTAGTTTAGTGTGGGACTTTGCCTTAATTATAGATAACAATCGTTGAGGTGAGCTCTGTAATCTCTGATAACCTATGCTTCATTCATATAGAGGTGTCTCCATATACCGCTGAAGGGCTTCTATTTAGACCTTTACTCGGCACTCAGAGCCATTGAGCAGTAAGGGTTCTTTATAGTACCAACGCCTGTCGTGACAAGGGGCCTTGATTTTAAGGTCTCGTCCGAAAGACCCGCAGCTTTCACTTCAAATTTCCGAGCTCATAGCGAAGGAACAGTTGCTACATTTTAATTTCCCCCATCGAAGAATGAAGGGCATTTTGTTTTGCTGCTGTCTGTCGGGCCACCAACAGTTTCCGTTCATTTTCACATATTGTACAGAGTGAAAATAAATTTTTATTTGTTCAACTTTTATCCTGACTTGATTGTTTATAATGCCCCACTTCGAAGAAGCGAGGGCATATCGCTTTGCTGCTGTCTGTCGGTCGATATATCTATCTGTCTGTCAGTACACCAACAGTTTCCGTTCATTTTCTTCGCAGAGGTTGTACATACTGAAATGAAATTCGGTATAAAGTTTTATCATAACAATATCTAAATAAAGTTCTTTTTTGGGTACGATCAAGCAATTTTGGATAGAGTTATGCCCCTTGGACTAAGGCAAATTCTAATCATTTGCAGTTTCCATTCATTTTCATCGCAGAGGTTGCACATACTAAAATAAAATTTGGTATACAAATTTATATTAAACATATATAGGTCAGGTTCTCCTTTGGATACGATCGAGCAATTTTTGAGGGAGTTATGCCCCTTGGAATAAAAAAAAAATCCATTGGGGGGGGGGCATAAATGTTTCACAAACATCTCTTGTTTTTATTGACTTAGGTCAGTTGCGACCGAGATTCGAATTCACGACCTTCCGATCACGGAGCGAGCGCTCTACCGTCTAAGCTACTGTGACGGTGACCTTAGACGGATTAGATATTCTTTTGCTGGAATTATTTATTAGTTCTTCGACGAATAATATATTTTGTTCGAACGAATTATGATACTTGTTTTGACAGATAAAATATTTGTTGGGACGAATTTAAGGTCTCACACAAGGAAATAATTTCACTATATGGTACTATGTAGCTTTAATTTAATTAATTAATTAATTAGACTCTCAGCAGATAATTCATCAAAGAGAAAATAAAGATAAATGCTGAGACAAAAATTTGAGATCAGAAAAAATACGCCTTATGCGGCTTTTCAGAAAGAAAATTGAGTGTAAACATACCTACCCTGAAATACACGTGGGTTTCACATGTTGACAAACAGCCTACACACCATCCAGGAAGTTGCATCATGCGCATCTAAAAAAAAAAGAGTTCCTTTAATTCAGTGGCACAATTCTGCTAAGGATATGATATTCCTAGTACATGAGTCCAAAATTAAAACTGTAGACCTAAAAAAAGTTGCCGAAAATGAAAAAAGAAAAAGAAATTGTCTCTATATATATAGAACTACAATTGACTAAGTTCATTTTGATTGGCTATTTCCTTGCGTAAGACCTTTAAGACAACTAAAAGTTAATGAAATTAAATGAAATTTGCATAAAATGTCTCTAAGTTATTAGTCCCCTACCTGTGAAACCGGAGGGGACTATAGGTTTCCTCTGAGTCTGTCCGTCCGTCTGTCTGTCCGTCTGTCTGTCTGTCTGTCCCTCTGTCTGTCTGTCAGTCTGTCCCACTTGGTTTTCCGCACTTTTTTCCTAAACGCTTGCAGATATTGAGCTGATTTTTGGTATGTGAGTGTATCTTGATGAGTTACAGATCAAGTTTGCATTTCGTTCCGCTTCATTGATTTTTGACGGAATTACGGCCTTTTCAATTTTTAAGGGTTTTCCGCAATTTTCTTCTAAACGCTTGTAGATATTGAGCTGATTTTTGGTGTGTGGCTTTACCTTGATTAGTTATAGATCAAGTTTGCATTTCCTCCCGCTTCATTAATTTTTGACGGAATTATGGCATTTTTAATTCTTAACTGGAACCAGATTACACTTGTCGGTAGGGGACTAGTATTGCTAATGCAATACTCTCAGAATGCTTGTTTATCTTTCATATACTAGTGCATCAAAATTTATCTTTGTCCTTAAGGGATGAAAAATAGGAGATAACTCTTCCTAACAGATTATTGAATTTTAGGCTAAATTTCTATACAAATTCATCTGCAGTATATTAATTTCAAAACTTAAAAAAATCTTATGAGTTAATTATTGAGAAAAAAATTTGGAATGATGTTGGGGTTTTTGACTATCTACTTAAAAGTTTTTTCAACTCTAATTAATAAGCTCTAATTAGCTAAGAAACAGGAAGTTTACTGATTTATAAGGATTTAATTCGCAAAAAATTGAAAATCTTAATTCTAAAACAAAGTCAGAGACTGAAAAAATGGTGTCAAAAGAGACTTCAATAATGTACCTTGGAGCTTTGATAACAGTGATCACTGATTAATGGCTGGTGATTAAGATAAGGGGTTCTTTAGCAGTGGGGGGTGATGAGGCTTTTCCATTAGTCATCAAAGAATGGAGTTTCTCTTAGAAGACCAGGCAGCTCTAAAATAAATAAACAACACAAAAGTTTACAATACTTAAAAATGTGCACCACATACAATAGCATATTACTAGAAAAAGTCTACAAGTGTACAGTTAAATAATAATCATGCCAAAAAGGGACCAAAATGGTTGCATCAACATCAATACAAAAAAGGAAGTATTCCTCACAACAAAGGCCAGAAGAATATAGGGACCACCAGCCCAGTCCAATTTCTAGTTCCCATAAGAAGACTAAGTAAAGAAGAGTTTCGGGACATTGTACAGCCACAGAAAAATGGAATGTTTGCAGTTACAGATGCCAAGATCCGAAGCAGTGAGATGAAGATTTTGCGACCCGGGCCAAGTGAAGTCCAGCCTGTAGACTCCTACAAGGAAGCTGTGTCAGATGACCCGAATTCAAAATTATACAAAGTATTTCACCAAAAAAAGACTGCTAAATTGTGGAACCATGCATTTAAAGAACACTCACATAAGTTTCCAGACTGTGACGGTTCACTGGACTGGAATCAGCATGGGGAGGAAAAACGAGGCCTGGCATGGATCCTTTCCATCCGATGTAAGAAGTGCCACTATACCAGTCACCGAGAAAAGCTTTACGAAGAGGTGAGGAGATCTGGAAGGGAACGAAGAGCTGCACAGCTAAATGTGGCCATGGCTGTCGGTCACCTGGGTACCAGTCTTACAACAGAGGGTATGCGTGGTATGCTTCTTGGTGCAAATATTGAACCAGCATCAGCCGCCAACATGCAACAGACCTGCAACAAAGTGGGGAAAATTATCACCAAAGAAAATAAAAACAGTATGAAGAAAATAAGGCAGAACATTCAAGAACTTAATGAAAAATGTGGACTTCCTGATACCCCTATCAGAGCGGAAGGAGATGCTTGGTATAATAATGCCACCTTTAGTGCCACTGGAAAAACCCCGTTCCAAGCTGCCACCCAAGTGACTTATATAGTGAGTGAAAATGTAACTCAGAGGAAAAATGTGGCAGTGTTCTGTGGGAACAAACTATGCAAGAAAGGCACACACCTACGAAACAAAGGAAAGAAAGTTACCTGCCCAGGACACGAAGACTGCACTGCAACCATTCCTTCGGAGACCACCATTGGAGATGAGAAGAGATGGGCCGCAAACTGTATCGGGGAGTTACAAAGTGATGACCGTCCACTCGTCATTTCCCATTTCACCAGTGATGGAGATAGTGCCGCTGCATATGGCGCATCTGTAAAACAAGGACATGCGATTGAAAACCTTGGAGACTTGCGTCACTTCTTTGACTCTCAAAGAAAACAGACTGCTAAGGCTCCATTCAGCAGTCACATGTTTCCGGGAAGAACCAAAGCCATAAGAGAATCCATGCAGAGAAGATTTGCCTTAGACCTGAAGCTTCGATGCAGGACAGAGTACGAGAATTGCTACAAACACTACTCCGGAGACTTACCTTTGATGAAGCGGGCTAAGTCCACTGCTGTTGGTTCCATCATAAGCTGCTACCAAGGACAGTGCGGAAAGTCCTGTCAACTTTATTCCTTTTCCTGTCATGGACTGAAAGCAATAAGTGGAAATCTTCAGTGTTGCCTAGTGACTTTGAATTAAACATGACAGAAGATGACAAATGTTTGTTAAAAGACTGTATAAATTTGACTTTAGGACCAAGTAATCTTGATAGAATTAAATATCATACTTGTTCACAAAAATCTGAATCTGTGAATAGGGCATATTTAAAATCAAATCCAAAATGTATTGCAAGTAGTAGAAATTTTGAAAGTAGAATACATAAAGTTGTGCACTCACTGAATAGGGGTCATGGAAACTCAACATTGGAACTTTGTGAATCTGTAGGGGCACCTGTTGTAAAAGGAAGTAGAGTTGTCCATCATCTAAAATAACAACAAAATAGGCAAAATTACTTTAAAATGAAACAAAAACTGTTAAAATATAAATCTCAAAGAAAATACTATAGATCTAAAAGATATCAGCTGTACGATAAAAAATCTAAAGACACTTACTGTAAATCACTAACAGATCCAAAATTAAAAAGGAAGTTGTAATATTGTAAGGGGGGGGGGGGGGGGGTTTGATGCTGTGTATTTAATTTAAATGTATAAAATTTGTATTTAATAAATATTTTGTGAATTGACTTACATGTAATAATTGTTGCCATGTATTATTATTCACTGAATCTATTCAACTGTGTAAATGGGGAAAATGTGGATATGTAAATGATGTATAATTGTATATGTAAAATGTGACATTTTCTTGTACGAGGGAGTCTGTGCATGTAAATATGTTTTATTCTTAATTATTTATCTAATTAAAATTATTTTAATTAATAATCTTGTTTTTCTTACCTGTCTGATGAACACAACAAAGGTCACAGAGGTGATTGGTAGAAATACGGGTATACGGGTGTCGAAACTCTCCGTTGATGACCAGACTGCATGCCGCATTGTATATCCGCCATTTTTGATCTTTAAAAGGGGAGACTACTCCTGAAATCAAAGAAATTGTAGTCAAAATGAGAGCTACCTGTTCCTCTTTAGGTCTCACACAAGGAAATAATTTCACTATATGGTACTATGTAGCTTTAATTTAATTAATTAATTAATTAGACTCTCAGCAGATAATTCATCAAAGAGAAAATAAAGATAAATGCCGAGACAAAAATTTGAGATCAGAAAAAATACGCCTTATGCGGCTTTTCAGAAAGAAAATTGAGTGTAAACATACCTACCCTGAAATACACGTGGGTTTCACATGTTGACAAACAGCCTACACACCATCCAGGAAGTTGCATCATGCGCATCTAAAAAGAGTTCCCTTTAATTCAGTGGCACAATTCTGCTAAAGATATGATATTCCTAGTACATGAGTCCAAAATTAAAACTGTAGACCTTAAAAAAGTTGCCGAAAATGAAAAAAGAAAAAGAAATTGTCTCTATATATATAGAACTACAATTGACTAAGATCATTTTGATTGGCTATTTCCTTGCGTAAGACCTTTAACATTTGTTCACATATAATAGCTATTTTTTCGGTCAAAATCGGGACAAATTATTTCTTTACTCGGATTGATTGATTGTATGTTGTTTCACACCCCATTCGAGAATTTTCCACTCATCACCATTTACCGGTGAAGGGCTTCAAATTTAGATCTTTACTCAGCACTCAGGGCCATTGAGCAATGAAGGATCCTTATCGTGCCAACGCCTGCCGCATGCGAAAGACCCAAAACGTTCATTTCAACATACCAAGCGCTTGGCGAAGGAACAGTTGCTACCTATTTTTTTTTTTTCGACTTGGGTCAGTCACAGCCAGGGTTTGAACCCACGGCCTCCCGATCACGGAACGAACGCTCTACTGATGAGCTACAGTGACAGTCAATATATGTTTTGAAATATATATTATTATAACAGTAACTTGATCCGAAGGACCGTATCACGTCAAGTTGACAGGCGCGGATCATCAGATCAAACGAGACGCGAAGCGTCTCGTTTGATCTGATGATCCGCGCCTGTCAACTTGACGTGATACGGCTCTTCGGATCAAGTTTCGCGTCTCGTTTGATCTGATGATCCGCGCCTGTCAACTTGACGTGATACGGCTCTTCGGATCAAGTTACTGTTATAATGATAAATTTATTATATACCCCTTTACAACTAGCATAATGTAATAAAAGGTAACTTTTTGGATAAATTACATTACTTTTATACATTAAACAAACCATTTTTTCAAGGAACCTTTTGAAGCGCGAGAATAAAAACGTCATTTATCTGTGTACTACGTCATCAGTTTCAGAGAGGGGTGATATGGATTCAGAAAACCAGTGTGGTGATCCGGAACGTCGGATCACACCGTCATAATTTGCATAATTCAACAGTAAAACTGAGTGACAAACAGTTGGGTATGTAATAAAATGTTTTATCAAACGATGAACCATTTCCCCCCTTATGATGACTAATACATTCCATTTAGCATTGCAGCAAAATTTTGAATTAGTATTTGTTTTTAGAAATGGAAATGAAAAATGTTTTAAAAAATTTCTGGAAAACCTTTTAACGGTAAATATCTGTCTCTGATGATTACCATTATTCGATTTGTATAATGTATAATATAGACCTTATATGAACTACAGCATCACATGCAATACTTCAATTTCTTTTCAATGAAAGAAAAAGTGAGCAAGCTGACATACCCCACGCTCCCCCAAAACTCGACAATGCAACACGTGAATGGTACAGTGCATTTTAAATACACAGTATAATTCAAAAAGGGGCATTACTTTCAAAAAATCATCACATCAAAACTTGCATATAAGGACATTGAAATCTTTGTATGTTACAAATTTAATTGGGCTGAAGTTTCTAAATAAATGATGGAATAAAAATTTCTTGGTAATATAAAAATCTATACAATATGTCTGAAATACCTACAAAGTTTCAGGAAAGACAGTGCAGGAGTTATGCTGACAAACTGTTATTTAAATTTCTCACTGATTTCGATTTGTTAATGAGTGTAAGTCCATGTCCAACACATGACAATTTACACATTTAAATAATTGATGGAAACAAAATAATGATGTAGTCAAATGAATTTGTTTATATACTGTACTTATGAAATTATTTAAGGCAAAGCACCAATTTGAGGGGGGTGGGGGTGAGAACTATCCAAGATTTTGTGTGTGTGCGTTAAATCATTAATAATTTGATCTCAAAATCAATAGGGGTCTTTTAAGGTCATAAAATATTTCACATAAAATTTCATTACAAAAACTGATTCCAGTGGATTCCTTATTACCTAGCTGGAAAGTTTCTTAAATAATAGGCAAAACTCTTAAGGCAAAAATTATGGAATCGAATTTCCTGGTAATATGCACATCTACACATTGTGTCCTAAATATCTGCAAAGTTTGACCAAATTCTGTGCAGCGGTTTATGAGGAGTTGCGCTGAAAAAAAAATAAAAACAGGACTGACGGACTGACTGATTGACTGACGGACGGGTCAAAAACATTATACCTCACGCAACTTGTTGCGTGGGGTATAATAATTCCTAGAGATTGTAAGGACTTTCGTGAAAAGGGTCACACTAATATAGAGGTGTACGAAATTTATCCATATGGGACCAGCTCCCGTCCTTTCAGAGTTAAATGCACGGTATATTTATACCCCCGCTCCGAAGGAGGGGGGATATACTGTTTTACCCTTGTGTGTCTGTCTGTCCGTAACTAATTTTGGTCGCAGTTTTCTCAGCAACTACTCATTGCAGATGCTCGAAACTTTAGCACAATCTTTGTTTAGCATCCCATATGGTGGGATTTATTTTTGCACGAATCCGATGTCAACTTCCTGTTTATCCGTGCGTCTGTCCGTGCCATACATAAAAAAATCTGGTCGTACTTTTCTCAGCAACTACTCATCGCAGATGCTTGAAATTTTAGCACAATCTTTGTTTAGGCATGCCATATGGTGGGATTCATTTTTTTACTAATCTGATGTCAACTTCCTGTTTATCCGTGCGTCTGTCCGTACAACACATAACAAATTTTGGTCGCAGTTTTCTCAGCAACTACTCATCACAGGTGCTTGAAATTTTAACACACTCTTTGTTTAGGCATGTCATATGGTGGGATTCATTTTTGTACAAATTCGATGTCAACTTCCTGTTTATCCGTGCGTCTGTCCGAAACATACATAGCAAATTTTGGTCATAGTTTTCTCAGCAACTACTTATTGCAGATGCTTGAAATTTTAGCACAATCTTTGTTTAGGCATGCCATATGTTGGGATTCAGTTTTTACAATCCAATGTCAATTTCCTAATTATCACTGTCTTTGTCTATAACCGAACTTGTGTATTCACATCAGAGCGGGGGTATTATTAGTGAGCATTGGCTCACAGACTTCTTGTTTTGTTTAATAAAACTGATGTATTTACACGTACATGGAGGAAACTGTTGTCCGCAAAGAATGATGCTGTAGCCTTCTTAACTGCTAAAATTAACTTCTCATCAAATAAAATATATCAGGAATTTACTAAGATATTGATTTAAGAAAAAAGTGAGAAATCTGTTGGAGATTTTTTATAATAAAACATAGCAAAAAAAATTTATATTCTTTGAATGATGACTCAAGTGTGGTTATAGTACTGAAGAGAGGTACAGGTACTTCGCCGTAGGAAGTTCGACAAGTGTTCGATGAAGCTTTGCATATTGAATAAAGCTTTGCAGATAATTCATTAGGGCCCCGCTCTGCGGGTGGCCTATAGTGATCAGTCTGTCCGTCCACCCGTCCGACATCTCTTGTCCGGAGCATATCTTCTCTCTCCTTGGCCCAATCTGGCTCATACTTCACCCACAGCGTGTCTTTGGGTAAAGGGTGTGCAGTGACCTTGAACCATGTTTCTAGGTCTAAGGTCAAGGTCATAGCAGAATGATATGAAAAATACTTGTCCGGAGCATATCTTCTCTTGGTCCAATGTGACTCATACTTTACTCACCGAGTGCCAACGACCAATGGATGTGCAGTGACCTTGAATTTTTAGGTCAAGGTCAAAAATAGCCTCTCTGTTTAAATTCTTGTCCGGAGCATATTTTCTCTCTCCTTGGCCCAATCTGGCTCATACTTCACCTACAGAGTGCCTTTGGGTAAAGTGTGTGCAGTGACCTTGAAACATGTTTCTAGGACTAAGGTTAAGGTCATAGCAGAATTATATAAAAAATCCTTGTCTGGAGCATAACTTCTCTCTCTTGGTGTAATATGGCTCATACCTCGCTCACATAGTGCCACTGGTCAATGGATGTGCAGTGACCTTGAACGAAGTTTCTAGGTCAAGGTCAAAAATAGCCTCTCTGTGTAAAATCTTTGTTCGGTGCATAATTTCTTTCCCTTAAGTCCAGTCAGCCTCAAATCTTACCAATTGACTTGGGGAACGGTACATTTGTGATTTTCCATTCATATTTCTGATAGGGAATATGCAACAATTTTCATAGAGGATATGCAGCATTCGTGATTTTTGTGCCGTTTTTGATAGAGGGTATGGAGCACTCGTGATTTTCGTGCCACTTTTTATTATAACAAGGATAACATAGAAGCCCTTAAGACTCAAACAACACATCCCTTAATAGTACACAAATGTTCCTCTTCAAAATAACCCTTTTCAGCTACCTTACATTTTCATGTTCGTTGCTGAAAGCGGGGGGCCCTTTGAGATGGCCACCCTCTCAATGATATCTAGTTGTCTACTAAAAATAATCGGCACAATAATAATTTAATAAATCCTTATCTTTCAAAGATCATTCACAAACGAATTGGTGGATCTCTGAGCTTTAACAGGAATTGGTCGGAATATAAGAATGGTTTTAGTGCATCTGAACAGGGTATCTGGATCGGTAAGAATTGGGTTTTTTTTTAAATCTATAATTCAAATGATGTTTGAAGCGACACAACTTAGGAATCGACTTTCAAACTTTTAGACATTTTATGCGATATCTACCACAATTAAATTGTTATCCGATTTTAATTTCTTGATAAAGAAGAAAAAAAAAAAAGAAATATAGATATCGGAAAACAATTTCTGTTATTGATATAACCATACTCGATTTGTCTCCCAAAATGACAATTACTTATTAAAATCTCTGACATAAAAAATGTGAAAATATGGTTTATATATGAAATAGGTTAAGAATATACTATTTTTCTAGCTTAAGATGTATACGATTTAAAAACAACTGTAATGCAGTAACAAATCAAATAATTTTATATATATTTTATTACCGTAAATGACGCAATCTATCAGTTAACAAACGG